AGTGTAAACAAATGACATATGTTGCCACCCCTCGGAACTTCCTGCCCCCCTCTCGCCATCCCATAAATATTTTTCTAGATCCGCCCCTGCCTTTAAGACAACAGTCTACATGTTCTAAGTGTAAGAGGTATTACACATATTAGCTAGGACTCCATTTTGTGCATAAATACATAGTTTGATTCCAGTTGGTTGACTTGATATTTTGTCTTTTTTTCATTCATTCATTTTTTTTTTTCTGAAACCAACAGTTTCATGGCTGTGATCCTGAAAGGTTACCGTTGTTTAAACGTTCAGTCCTTTTTAAAGGTAGTACAGTCAGTATATCTCTCCATTACAAAAAGCTTTGCATTATGTTTTAAAGTTAAATGCTTTATGCATTAAAGTATTTCATTCAAAGAAGATATGATACATCCATTGACTTCAGTGTTGCTCTCATCATAAAAGACTCATGTTCTCTCAGGTTTTTTGGTGTACGTGTTTTGCAGAAAACTATAAAAAATCCTCCATAGTCTTCAGCAGGTAAATGTAGAGTAATGAGTGTTGCTAGCCATGGAAGATGGAGTGCATGATGGTTTTTTTTAATGAAAATAAAAACAAATAGAGACAAACTCTTCCTTCTACTTCTGAGTCTTTTAAAGTTTCCTGTGAATGATCCTCTTGATCAACTTTTTTCAAATCCTTTTTAAAAATCTTGAGAAAACCCCCTACTGTCATTGGCTTATGTTGAAATTCTGTGACCTCTACTTCTTATTTATAGCCCTGACACATGCTTTCTAAAATAACGAGCAGCTTCCTGTGCAGTTATTCAGACCTGCAGCACACATGATATTTTTCCATTTTTACAAATTACAATTTTAAATGGGCAATCCTGCACTAACGAATCACTAACCATTCAGTTTATTTGCTGAGGTTTTTTTGACATGGTTGGTGTGCCAGCTTCATTTAGCGGAAGCTCCTTCAATTTAAGGATGTGGTCCAAGATGTAAACACTGTGAGTCTGAAATGCAGAGCAGTGAGCTACCAGTGGGTTTTGTGGAAATTACAGCGGAAAAAGTGTTCGTTCTGAATGCACTTTTACGCAAGAGAATATGGATTGTTAACAAAACAAACTCAGCAAGTTCTATGAAAAAAAAACTAAAG